ATATATATATATATATATATATATATATATATATATATATATATTAGGGACGCTAGGTTCATATAATATTGAATTGTACAGTACGACCTCCACGGTTCAATATGCTTGAATTGCGGTTTTCTTGGTTTAGCGTTTAAATAATTTATGTGTATTTTATATCTCCCCGAATTGACTGTGTATGTGCCTGTCCATGAGCTGAGATGAGGAAACTCATCCCCGTGAGTAAATATCCAATCACTATTTACTAAAGTTAGGGGGTGCTTGACCATCATTCCACACTTTAACATGGTGAGCGGTGGTGAAGTGAGGCTGGGGCAACAGTACAAGGAGGTGGCGGCAAAGTGAGGCAACAGTACGAGAAAGCGCTGGCATCTTTTAAATCTGCGGTGTGAGGACATTTTGGTTTTTCCAGTAAGTTTAATGCCAATAAAAGAAAAAAACGATGAAGAAAAATTAACTGTGTGCAAGCATTGTTTTACACGCATAACCATGACTGAACATCTGCAGCGCCATCACCCAGCAATATCACTGTCTGAAGGCAGGATAGCAGAGAACGTAATAAAGTCCTCCAAAAATCAACAATCCCTTGCTTAATCTTTCAAGCAATCATACCCAACGGGTTCTGAGAGACACATAAAAATAACAAAGGCAGTGCGGGTGTTTATTGCTAAAGATTTGCCGCCGTTTTCAGTGATTGGAGATGCAGGCTTTTGTCATTTTATAAAAGCACTCAATCCGCGTTACAGAATACAGTCTCACATGTTTTTAACGCTGAGATAATTAAGATGGTTTATTTATGTTTACCTAAGTACAAATATGTTTATTTGAAATGGCCAATTTATCTTTATTAACTTCACATGTATGTTTATTTTCAAAGTGTAGGATTGTATGTGTTCCCCAGTTTGTACATGGGTGTTACCACGACTGGGGTGGAGTGACAGGAGACAACAGGAGGTAAGATCCAATGTGCAGGTTTATTCAATGTCAGGCAAGCAATGGTCAAATCAGGTGCAAACGGGTATGTAAAGGCAGTCCAGAATCATCGTCAATATAACAGGCAATAGGTCGAAAGGCAGGCGGCTAAACAGGATAACAAAGGTACAAGGCTAGGATCGAGACACGGAGAAACAAGACAGGGAAACGCGTTGTAATGTTACACTAGGAAAACAAGACTCGGCCAACTGGTAGCGTCAATGAGTGGCTTATGAATGGAGTGATATCAGTCTGTGACAAGGATCAGCTGGTGCTTGCAATCAGGATAGATGAATGAGCAGGCGTGTGTGTCTGGGAGCAGTGCATGTATGAATGTGTAGTCCTGGGGAATGCGGAAGTCCTGAGAGTTCGTGTGAGAACCAGCGATCTCTGGAAAGCGATCGCTGGTTGTGACAATGGGCTACCAGCAGCTATGAGATTTCAGTGGTCATTTTTTTTTTTTTTTTAATACAATACATTAGGAACTAGTGTACTTTTCCTGGCTTTTAAGTAAAAATAAAATGAGTATTGCAAAAAATAGTTTTTATTTTTTTCTCCTTAACATCTCACTGTTCCTATTGCCTATAGAAAAAAAACACATATAAGCCATGAGAACCAAACCGAACCGAAAACCGTGTTAAAAAACCGAGTTGTGTTGAACCGTAGGCTAACTGTATTGTTGCAACCCTAATCAATATAAATATATATTATATATATGCCCAAAATATACAGTGGCAGAGAGAGTTTAACAGGCTGACCCACACACACACACACCACAAAACAGCACGATCATCTAAAACTCCCCATGTCCCTATACTGAAGAAAGGTATCCTACTGTTGCAGCTCATGTGCGTTGATGTGTGAGGACTGTTGGTTATCCACGCTGAGCTCCTGCAGTTTTGTCCCTGTCAACATAGAGCGCCTTGTCTGGTCAAAGGATCCTCACACGCGCGGATGACAGGAGAATAAATGTCACTGCTGCTCGACTGCACGTGCCAAACTTACGAGAAATACCTGCTCCTTCTAAGTAATACAGTAAGAGCAAGAAACGGTACTGTACATTCTCAGAGATAGGCTTATGTGTCGTTGTGTATTTCTAACGGATAGGATTATAGTTATGAAACAAACGAGGCGCCAGTGCATTTTACTGTATGTAGTTTGAGCCATCGAAGTGTCAGTATTATGAACTGTAAAAACACGTGCTATGTCTATGACAAATTTTGTCGGTCATTTACCATTACGTTGATGGAAATATGCTAAATGAACAAGTTTGAAAGAGCTTTTTGATGCATTGACGATAAACAGTGACTGACGTAACGCCTCAAAAAGGGATCAAAACTCGTGGTGAAAGAAGCACGACGAACTCTACATGAACTCTACATCGCTATGTGACGGGTTTGACTGATCGTCAAGTCGTTTGAAGTGATAGAATAGCGAATAAATGTCTGATAATCTCCGCTTTTATGAGCTTTTAACCTTTGGGATCGAATCAGTGAATGATTTGACCATGAGAATCGGACCAATGTGGTAACAATGTATAATTTAATGGAAGGGTCCAATTCTTTTCCAAAGTGCTCCACTAAACACTTGTAAAGTTATGATTTATTTTACTGCAGAATCATCAATTTTATCTTTCCTTTTTGGGTTTTTCGAGGCTTGACAACTTTAATTCTACGATTATCAGTGCATAGAATTTAGGCTTTTGCATTTATTTATTTATTTATTTATTTATTTATTTATTTATTTATTTATTTATTTATTTATTCAAAACAGTTTGGTTTGGCAATTATATGACAATGCCCCCTATAATAACAATAATAATAATAATAATAATAATAATGATGATAACAACTACAACAGTAATAATTATAATAATCCCAGATTAATAAAGGGATTAAGCCGAAAAGAATGAATGAATGAATGAATGAATGAATGAATGATAATATTATTAATATTAATATGAATTTGTTTTTATTGCTGTCTTTGTTGTTGCATTTTATTTGATATAGATATATATTTGGATAGATTATTATAAATTATTAGTATTTCACCCCAGGCTGATTTATTTGTGCATAAGCATGTAAAACAGCTTGAGTAGGTATCAGTTTTAATGCAGTTCGCTCGCTGTATAAAAATAAGACTTTTAACCGTAATACGCACGATGTCGTTATGCTCTCTCTCTCTCTCTCTCTCTCTCTCTCTCTCTCTCTCTCTCTCTCTCTCTCTCTCTCTCTATCTCTTTCTCTCTCTCTCCATCGCTCCCCCACTCTCTCACACACTCTCTTTCTCTCTCTCTCCCTAGACGCAGCAGCGGCTTGGCTTGGATTCAGTTCCTCCCCTATGTGCTGCCTTACTCCATCATCACATCCCTGAACGTGAGCGGTGTAGCTGAGGAGCACTTCTTTAAAACCCGACACTTCGCTGGAGTTGCTTCCCTGCGCGTCTGAGAGTCATAGGGAGGGGAGAAGCATTCCCCCATACAAACAAATTCTCTTCTAACGATGGAGACCGCTCTGGGTGTCTTCCCCGGTGCTCACTTTACAATTTCCACCTGGCTAATTCTTTTTTTTCCGAACGTAAAGGCAGATATAAGTTGCGCGCCATGCATGTCGCCAATGCAAGTGAATTACGCTGGGGACGAGCATCTGCGTGACCCGCCTGATTCTGGGAAATATCCGACACCACCGGATCAAAAGAAACCCAAGCTGATTGCAGTGCTTTACCCGAATATTGGAGTACCAACGGATGGTTTTCCAGGGATTGCGCCGAAAGTGGAAACAAACGCAGATGGGATAAACTCCCGCGCGCCTTTGGGGAACTTCGCCGAGTCCGCTTTAGACGAAGAATTGTTTTCGGATGAATTTATGGAAAGTGGGAGAGTCAAGAGAAGCGTGCCCGAGTTTATGGAGAGCGCGCGGGGAGCTGATCCCCTCTCGGAGGAGCAGAGAAAGACCTCCGCTCTGCGGGTGGACGGACAGGGCAAACGCGCAGAAGTTCGCTGGAACAGGGAGGATGAGCAGGACGCCAGAGTGTCGGATTCCAGACCAGAAGAGCCCAAACTAACCAGCAGCACTTTCGCTCTGGCTGGAGACTCCGCGCACAACCACGCAGTCGTGTACTGGTCTGGAAAAAACAGCAGCGTAAGTCCGCAACCTTCAGTACTTTTGCTGTTTACGCGGCTTGGTTTTTTTGCTTCTTGTCAGCTTCACTTGTTGTCACTGCGCACACACGAGCCCACAGGGGCATTCATGGCGAGCAGCATCTCCACAACCTGGCGTGAAACGATCCCTCACACACATAGAGTCTAAGCATTCCAAGCAAGTGTTAATATTTTACGCTTTGCAGCACTGGTTTCTCCAAAGACCAGCAAACCAGCGTAGTGTTTTCATCAGAGATGCTTCTTAAATGTTTACAGAAACACCTGTTCAGAGTGTTAACCACCTGTTCGTGAAGCACCAAAGAGATCAAACACAACAGGACCTTTCTGTTAACCTGCTGAATCACCAGAACATAACATCTACACACTTTAGTTGAACACAATTCTGCACTGCCTATTCATTTATCTATTTTTTTTTCTCCATTGAAATGATTTGCTTGTTGAGCAGGATGTTGGCTGGAGTCTCCTGGCTGCAGCACTGGCTCTGTTTTTTGGATGCAAAATTTGGGGGATTGGCAAGATAGGAGGGTTTGTAAAACTCTGCATCTCAATAATTCAGAGGTCCGCGCAGTCTGTTTTTTTGTAGCCCGAGGTGCCACGGGCAAATGGTAACCTTGTGGTTAAATGATAAAAGTTAAACAACGCTGGGAACTTGTGCTCAAGCGAGTCTTCGGAGCATTGCCTGCATGTTTGGATTTTGTTGCAGACAGGTGGTGTTTGATGATAGTGAAATGAAGTGAGATGTGAGCGAGAGAGGGGAGAAAGAAAAGCTGATTTTTCAATGATTTTTCTGTATTATGTCGAGGCTGTTTGTGTGGCTGTGCATGTCTGTGGATATAATATAATATAATATAATATAATATAATATAATATAATAATGTGCATTAGTAGTTAAAATGCAAGGCATGATGTTAAAACAAGCTAAGAAAACACTGGTAATAAAATAGTATAGTAACAGGTACTGAATTATTATAATAAAGGTAGAAAATTCAAATCATAATGAACAATGAACAGTATGATTATTACTGAAGAAAGGCATGATTTTTGGGTTGAGAGTTGCAATTAGCTTGAAAGGTGTGAGACAGCCAATCATTGAAAGAACCAGCAGGAGAACTTTAATGGTGAAAGGCCATTTTCTGGACTAATTTAAATAAGTTTATGGTTGTTGTTTTAAAAAATTATATTATATATACATTATATAATGTATGTATATATATGTATATATATATTATTATGTTTTTCTTTTTTTTTAGATATTTCACAATTTATGTTTAACAGAGCAAGAAATGTTCACAGTATGTCTGATAATATTTTTTCCTCTGGAGAAAATTGTATTTGGTTAATTTAGGCTAGAATAAAAGCTGTTTTTTATTAAAAACAGGGGGCTAATAATTTTGACTTCAACTATATATATATAATTACCCTAACTTTAGGTCTTCTAAAGTGTCCTAAAGCGACTACTGTATGCTTAGGGGTTGGCTAGTGGGGTGCAGGGATTACACCTATTACTAAGCCATCCTTACAGGCTATTTCAGAGAGAATATTCAAAGTAGTAGCATGGTTAACAATATATAACAAAACATCAGTAAAATTCATATATCGCTATTAACTTATGTTTTGTTGTTAAACTAAATACAAATCTACGTTATTGATGCGGTAAAGGTCCTTTATGACAAATTGAAAATAGTCACATCAAAATTTCGCCGGAAGAGTTCGGTGGCTGAACAAAACTTCTGTGCATTTAAGTCATTTGTAAAACAACAAAATCTATACTGTAAGCTTTGTGTGACTGAAATACTTTAAAACTTTTTATCATTAGCTGTCTAAAAGAAATATTTCAGCCATGGTGTTGTCCTTCCTCCAGCATGCAAAAGTATCTCCAATATTGATTCAGGATTTTAAAAAGTTTTGATTCAGCATTTGATTTTACCGCTGTCACGCGCAAACGGCGGATGTGCATAAACAGGGTTGCTCAGATGTACAAATCTACATTTGTTGACAGACAGTTTGTGCTACTTATCAGAATTATGAAAATGATCAAATTTGAATTGGATGAAATTTTTTTTGTCTTGTGCTTTATCCAGAATATAAAATTAAACGTACGGCATCCACTTTTAGGCGTGACAATTCTCCATCCTCTGGTAACGGGCCGGAGCCATTACCCCAAACTTTTCCGGGACCTCGCAAATCACAAATTAAGCACTGCATTTAGATCGTTTACTTTAATCATTACTATTGGAATGTGAAGAGACTTTCAACCAGCACAACTAAAAATGTTTCTGAAGATAATCACCTACTGCACCTTTAAACAGAAATTGGGGGAAAAAAAATTTACAGCTGGCTAATAATTCAGGAGGTCTAATAATTCGGACTGAAAATGTTAAAACCACCAATTCCAAACCAGCTTTTGTCTTTTGCTCATTGTCAAAGTTTGGCTCAAAGGCTTTTGGAAAACCCAGACCAGTGGTTTTGGTTCATTTGGAAAACCCAGACCAGTGGTTTTGGCTCATTTGGAAAACCCAGACCAGTGGTTTTGGCTCATTTGTACCAGAGCAGGAATTTGAAGCAGTAGGTGTGATATCTATTTTCTGTTGTACAATATATTGCACCAAAATATATTGAAATAAACAATATAGTTGTAATTTTAAGACTTATTAAACTCATTATATGACAAAATGCTAAAATAATATCATCACAATGAAAGTACTCTTCCAAAGAACACATAATACTTTATTCTTAAGAATATTTCATTTCATTATAGTCATTTTAACAATTTCATAATTAGGCATTGGAATTACAATGTGAAAACGCATATTCTAAATAAAATAAATAATAAATTTTAACAAAAAAGATGCAAGGTAAAAAGTAAAAAAAGCTGCAATATCTGGTACCAGATCTATTTTCAGTTGTCATGGAAATACACTAGTAATTTATAGTAAATACTGTAGTGTTTTTTAACCATACTGACACTGACATCCTATTGAGATATTGATGTTGCCCAGTCAGCTAAAACTGTTGCTAGAATTGGTTTTTATGTATGGGTTAAGTGGATTAAGAACTATTTCTAACTAATTCTCTATTCGTTATCATTTAAACTGAATTAATCCTGCTTCATTACTGTCTTTCTTAGCATCTGTCTGCAAAAAACACCAAAAAGCAATAAATCAAAACAGATAGTGCAGCATTTTCAGCCCTGACTGTCTGTATATATTAAATCGAGCTTTATTAACTTGTTTAGTAGCTGTCAGTGAAACAGCCACAGCAATTTTAGGCGAGGGTTAGAGCCCGCCGGGTCCCGTCCCTCATCCCCACAGCTGTAAATCTCCTATAATTATCTTCAGGAGTGAGGCAGCCATTTTGAAAGATTTCGTCCTGTTCAGGGACTGCCTACTCAAGCGTGTTTTCCCTGCTTGCTTGCCTGCTGGAGAGCTTTGTCTTCATTGGCTGGATGCACTTAAATGAGGGATGAATGAAGAGTGCAAGGACAGTGTCATTTGATATTTTCTTGTCCTAGTAATGGAAAGTGAATATGTTTTGCATAATGTTATATATATATATAAGCTTGTCTGCAATGTTTCATCACAGCTCTCTTACAGTATTTACTGTATATTATGTTTTTCAGGAGCTACTGAGGTCAGACTTACAGTCAAGGGTTTAGATGCACATAACTTAATTTCTTTCTGATGATCAAAACTCTTTGATAAATGTCTATGGCTAATAATGAAATTATAAATAATAGGTATTAAACGTATGAGCTACTTTTGTAGTCAAGTGTATTTATTTATATTAATCATTATGGTCTAAAAGGGGTTGATGAAGATTGTTGTTGTTACTTTTGATTACTTTCTGTTTTTGTTGTTATTGTTTTTTTGTTTTAAATTATATAATATTAATAATAATGAATCTGTATACATAACATAGTTTATTATTATTATTATTATTATTATTATTATTATTATTATTATTATTATTATTATTATTATTAGTAGTAGTAGTAGTAGTTGTAGTGTTGTTGTTATTATTTATGGATGTAATAATATTAATAATTTTATTTAAATAGTAGTAGTAGTAGTAGTTGTAATAATAATAATAATAATAATAATAATAATATTAATACTACTACTACTACTAATAATAATAATAATAATATACTGTTATGCATACAAGTGTGTTGTTGTTGTTGTTGTTATTATTATTATTTATGTATGCAATGATAATATTAATAATTTGTTTTATTGATAATAACATTGTTATTATTATTAACAATAATAATAATAATAATAATAATAATAATAATAATAATAATTACATAATAAATCTGTATAAATAACATAGTTCATTATTGTTAATATTATTAGTTATTTATTTAAATAGTAGTAGTAATAAAAAAAAAATAATAATAATAATAATAATAATAATAATAATAATAATAATTTAATAGTATAATAATAGTATTTCACAGTTGTTCTATAAAAATCCACTTCACTGATTCACTTCACTGGAGCTCATCACTGGTGTTTTGAGATTTAGGCTGAAAGTCATTTATTTGTTTTATGATTCAGACGTCCCATCACACTTTTGATGCCACGCATTCAGATGGAAAATATCCGATTTGCATATGATCTAAGTTGTGAGACTGGCACGCACCAATGAGTTCTGATGCAGTCCTGCTTCAGCGCCATCAGGTCATTCCTGTAGAGCTTGTTGTCGTATGCTCCAAGGATCTCTTTGAAACACCTCACTGAATGTCTAAGTGTAAAATACAAGCAGCAAATGAGCTTTGTCAAATAGCGTTTCCCCAAAGAGGGAGGTGGTCTGTTTTATGTGTGCTTTCATGCGATTCGGTAAACATGGGGTTTAACGATAAGATTTACGACAGTAGTTTGTTGGATGTGTCCAACTATTTTCCAGTTTAGTAATTATAGTATAGAACAAATTTAGGGAACAACCTACAATTTCCTAAATTTCCATGTCACTGCTCAG